TATTTTCTCCAATTGTGTTTTTTATTTTTTATTTTTTTGATACTTACTTACTCATATTGTAAGTTGATTATAAATAATTAGATTTTAAAGAAAAATTTATTTTTTAAATAAATGCAAACACAAAAAAAATTTTTTTTTTCTTGAGATGTTTTTAAATTCCAAATCTGGTACACCTTTTAAAACAATACTAATATATACTAATCATTTATCACTGGTTCATTTTTTGTTAGTATAGTAATAGGAAAATTGGGTTTTGTGTTGCACAATTTTTATTGGCCACCAAAAATATTTTTCCATTATTATTATCAAGTTCTTTTGGATCAACATACTAAGCTATATAATGGAAATTATTTTAGCATTAATTTATCGCAATTGAATACTCAGTGACAAATGATGGAATAGAATCATAGTTATTATCTAAATATTTGATGGAATTTTTTTAATTGTAACATAAAGTTATAATTTAAAATGCGCGATACAGATAAATGGGGCATACTGCAACAAAACCAGACAGTGAATATTGGTATTAGTATTAGTATTAACTAACAATTTCAGGGATCAAAATTTAGTAATGTGATTATTAAAATCCTCCATTTGTTTGTTGTATTTGTTTTTTTCTTAGTTAAATATAGAATTGCCCCTATATAAAAATAGTTGTATTACATTATGTACCCAAAAAATTACAGCACCATTACAAGTATGAAGAAAGAACAAGGTGAAAAAATTGCTCCCTATATTTTCAAAATAAATGATACTCAACACTGGAAGCTTATCTAAGAAAAGAAAGGATTGCTTATGATGAAATTTACCAAGATGAGAACATACCATTACATAACAAAAGATTGAAACTTTGGACAAAAATGAAGAATAAACCCTTTACTAATAAAGTGTATAATTGCGAATGTGATAAATGTTTTTTTTTTTTGATAAATATAATTTTATAAATCTCTTTAAATACTAATCATAATGCAGTGATAGAATGAACAATTAAATTCATAATATAAAAATCTTTAAAAAATCTCAACTTACATATATTTAAAGTTAATATTAATATACATAAATAATAATAATAATTGAATTACTCATATAGGAGGTGTCTTTAATATGGCAAATGTCATAAGCAATAAATTATCAAGATGGCTTGGTGGTGTTTGAAGATTATCTGGTTCAAATAGATTGTCGATTTTTTTTAATTCTATTAACATTTTCAATTATTATTGAGTTAATTTCTCGACGAAAGGGATTATTACGGAATCGTTAATACTTGTTGTGTACTAAAAATCTTAACCATTGTGAATAATGGGTTATAATCATGATCTAAAGTATATACAGTACAACGAATTTACTTTCTATATTAAAAATCATTTTTATTAGTAAAACAAATTTAATCATATTATTCTTAAAGTAAATAATAATGATACACTAAACTAAAAACGTGAATTGCTATCATTTTCAATTTATCTAGTAATTCTATGCATTTTTGATTACCGCCATTTCTTGACATACTAATACTATTCCAAGATTCTTTACTCATTTTTGCCAATCTTAGTCGATCTTCATTGATGTGATCAATAACGTTGCTCTTGTACCATATGATACTTCAATAAACAACAATTCATATCTATATTTAAATATTTTTCCTATCAGGGTCCACATATAATCCGGAAATCTCGTGGGTCCATCTTTGCCATTTCTTGTTTGTCGTTTGGCATTTTTCTCTATCATTAAATAAAATAACCACATTAGTCTTTTATATATATATTTTTTAATGTCTATTTAGTAGATTTATTACCATAATCTGATGATATCATCAATGTTGCGAATGGGAATCTTAGTATTGGAGGAATTAAATCGTCTCGCCACGTATCTTCACTGATTTTTATTTCTTGATCTAAATAATTATGCGATTTCCAAATTGCTTTCTAAAAATATATATATTATCATATCGTGAGTATTAAACTATACATATTGTCAAAATTAATTTGGCTTTGACTCAATTCCTAAAATCTCAATTTTTAATTGCATCTGACTCAATTATTTATATGTTTTTCATATTGCGTCAAAAAGTCACCTAACTGATTGAGTAAAGTGATCATCCTATTTCTACCACATGTATATCTTTCTCACCAATTGTAATCCTTATAATATAGATATAAATTATGCAAAAAACTCAATTTTGGTCAGAGAGGTCCCTAACCAAGAAATCCCCCATATCTACGGCAAAAGGGAGCTTGTATTGTATAGTAATAGAGATTTTAATTTAATATTCATTTCTTTACTAAATAAACAGGGTCTGATTTTCATTAATTATAATTCTTATAATATAGATATATATTATGCAAAAACTCAATTTTGGTCAGGAAGCTCCATTTTGCTAGAGAATCACATATACTTACACCAGCAATAATTTTTTGAATTTTTTTTAAGATTCACTTCGGAATCTGATGAGCTAAATATTCCTGTGTTGGTAGTAGTGACAACTAGGTCATTTGTTTCCACTTTGGATATATTCATGATTTTTTCTTGAATATTTAGGAAATTAAAAATGACACAAGTGTTAAGCAACTTTTTTTACTTGAAATACATCACAAAATAATTTATATAATAACTAGAGTGACAACGAGTGGTGATAACCGCCACTATTCTTATGATAAATACTTACCCAGCAGTTTCCTGCCAATTGTCTTCTTTTTTTCTTTTGCGAGTATTAGTTTTTGACATTTTAAAAAGAAAAAAGAAATTGTTGTTAGATCGACAAACACGTGCTAATTATTTATGATTTTTTTTTTGGAAAAACAAAGATGACAAAACGTGGTTCTCCAAAAGAAGAAGTGTTTAATAACTAACCAGAGGTACTTTTTTTTATTTGTATTGATATAATGTGGCGACCTTTAATTTATAAATATTTTAATTGGAATCAAAATACAGAGCAGAACTCGTGGGTAATTATAAGATCCTTATCAAGATGGCAACAAATGGACGATTGGTACTTTGCTTTTTGTAATCGTTATTATTATTATTATAATATATATCAAGGCAGCACATTGTTGCAGAAGAAATAATTCAATATGAAACATTTCGATATATGACGTTTGATTATCGGAAATTAGCAGATGTTGAAGCACGCACACCACCTACCAAGATTTTCTCGATGATACAATATTGCAATCGAATTCTAGGGGGACCACATGGCCCTGGGTTTTACCGAAACTGCATCAATCGTCAATGATACTTTTCACTAATCTTCCCTCACAATATCTGACCAGAGAAGGCAAGCATGGCGGGATTTCTCTGTGATTGGCTGACGCATAATGAATGATTTACGCCGATCATTACTATTAATCAATTTTTTTAATGTTATCCTAGACAATCAAATGACTTTATTGACAGTATTCTATACACATAATTTATCAAAGCTCTAGATTGAAAACCTCTATTGCTATCATAATGACAAAAATGCATGTAATAAAATGCACCTATAGTTTGAAGCAACATAAATATAATATCTATCATCTGAATGACAAACTTGAAAAAAAGTATATCCCCACATTAAATTGAATATTATTTATCATTCATAAAAAAATATTTATAGATGTTGAAATCTTGGATTGAACTTTGCATCTTGTCATTACTTAATGTATCATCTAATTATAATAATACTCATGAATATACATGAAGTCGAAATTAAAACCCCAAAGTCAAAATATTTTGACTTGAGGCAACTACATAGTAAAAATCAGTTTCGACCTTATTTTGACCCTATTTCAACTTCATGTATAATCGTTAATAAGATAATTATTTATTCAACACACTTGCTATTGTAATGTATTAACTATGATGAAACATAATAATATTCATACCATTCTTTAGACTAGTAGATCCAAGCATGTTGCAATTGTTTCTTTATATTGTAGAACTATTTCAAATATTACATCATTAATAAGATAATTATTATTCAACACTAAGGGTACTGGCTGCAACTTTTGATGATGGTTGCTACCATCTTTGTGTCACATTAACTATGATAAACAGAATAATAATATTCCTACTGTTCTTTGGCTAAGTAGATCCAAGCATGTTGCAATTATTTCTTTGTATTGTAGAATTATAAATATTTTTTCAAAGTATAAAGGGTTATATTAATATTTATAAATGTACCTTTAAGCATGTTGTTCACTAATTTTTTTTTTAATGCCTAAGTTGTTGTTATAACAAAAAAAAAATTTAATAATGAAATATATTTATCACTATTTATTTTGAATGCTTGGAAATGTTTCTCATCTAACTTCCGAAGTGAGCAAGTTGCTTATATAGAATTCAAAAATATCATAACAATAATTGTAAAAAAGTGTATCAAAAGTGCAGGAAGGCGAGTGAAGGCCTGCTATGATTACTTTGAAAATATTGTTGGTAATCCAGCATTTGGTGGTAGTGGCAATATAATAAAATTTGATATTAAAAGAATAACAAAAATTAAGAACTGAGATGTTGTATATTAATATTAATATACATTTTATTATTATACTTTTGTCTATAAAGACGGAATATCACATGATCATCTAGGCGCCTGGCAACAGGTAGACAAATGATGAGTATAGGGACATTCAGTATGGTATAACTCTTGCAAAACGTATGGTATGGTATTGTATAAATGTAATAAAATGGTTGTATACCAATGCTTAAATCTAACATACTTCCCTTCACACCACCAAAAAGGATTTAGAATAAAATTTTGTGTGACTTGGTATGGGCTATACCATACCATACCATACGTTCTGCAAGAGTTATACCATACTGAATCTCTCCCTACTGACAAATGATTTTTGAATATTGCAAAAATATACAAGATACAATTATGACAGTTCATGCACCCATGTTTAAACAACAATATTATGTTTCGTTGTCATTTTACTTTAATGAAATCTTTTTTCTTTTGCAATAGTGTATATCCAATCGGCTTCACTTCAGCATTTAATATAGCGATCTTATTTATCAAACAAATGAGGTCTGGTTTGATTAAGTTACGTACCATTTGGACTTTTATTAAGTCTCGACCTATAATTGGTAAACTTATCACTACAAAATATTGGTTTGGTAAATGGGATCCAGGAAATTCATCTTTGTTGTATTTTACCAATCTTTTAATGGGTATAATAAAAAAAATAATAACAACTTACAAATTACCAAATATTCTAACACATTTGTCAACTATTCAGCTTTTTTCCAAATTTAATGAAGAATGGTATGATGCATCAAGTAGGGTTGATGAGATTGGTTTTGGCAATATTATTTTTTTAAAATAGTATATGGATTACTAATAATGATTTTGATCCATTGAGTAAAGCTTTCCTGTAAGGAAATCACAATTATGCAACTTTCAAAAAATAATGCTTTAATAATAATAAACCATCAGACTGAAAATCAACTTTACGTGATAAAAAGAGGTGCAAATTAAATTGCTTATTGGATCACAAGAAATTACATTAGCTTCCACAAACAGACTTTATTAGATATTTTTCATAATTATGTTGCCTTTCCTCTGGGAGCAGAAGATAAGAAAATAATGGCTCGCTATTATCAATATTACTGTGCGAATTTTTTTCTATTGCAAGTTCCAAATGATGCTTCTTTCATGAAGTGATTATATTCTGTTTTAAAGGTTATGACACAGACGAACTCTGTTAGATATAGAATGCTAATCAATCAGGGGATAAAATAATGATAACTCTCGAACAAAGGATAAAGACATTCACATTGAAAGAAATAATGGAATCAGAAAGATGACAAAACGGACAAAATTAATAATATTCTTTTCTTTTAAATTTGTAAAGTAAATCGTATATATATCACATATTACTTACTACTTTGTTTTTTATATAATAACAAGTTTAGTCAATTAATTCATTCATCGCATACTTCAAGAAGCTCAAAAGTCTCGGGTAAAATATAACTTTTTAATAATAAATAAATACACTTGGAGAAATACTTTTTTTTTCAAATAAAATAATAATATTATTTAGTTCAATTATTTGACAAAGCAGCTTTAAAATACAAAGGCTTTGTTTTTTAAAATGTAGAATGAGCTTTGTGAGTTTTCACGTCCGACATTAATTTCTACATCATAAAACCAACAATGTTCACGAGTTTACTAATATATTTTAATGTAAAGTTTTTTTGCTGGATTTTTTATTTTTTATTTTTATTTCTTTTAAAATAGAACAAGAACGATTGTTTATTAAAAATTTTTTTTCTTTATTAATCTCTATTCAAAAAAAACCCCCATTAAACTGAAGCCGAAACAAGACGTTGTTAGATCGTGTGAAATAAAATTAATAAAATTGATCGGGTTTTGATTATTAATTTTTTTAGGGCCCGTCACTCAAAAAATAAAATAAGTTTAGCGTGCTGTTTTTTAAAAAAATAATTAGAACCTAAAACACACTCATTTTAAAAAAAATTTTTACTTATTTCTACTTTATGCATATAAATATGCACAAAAGAAAGATAAATGTTATTATTAAGAAAATAATTACATAAATATTACATAATTTATATGACTATTTTTTATTTATTGGTTTTATTTTCTCGCGTGTATTTTATTTTTAATTGATTCCCTCGTGAACGCAATGCAAACTTCCTTGTATATACTTTATTATATTTTATAAAATGTTGATATAATCGATACAAATAAGGAATATCAATGTAAACACTTATGATATTTAAACCAATCAATCACATATATTATTAAAATGTTAATAAAAAACAATTTCCATTCATACAGCACAGTTTTAAGTTACAAGCACAAACAAAAAAGCTGATCATCCATTATTCGAAAAAAAAAATTTTTCCTAAAATTAACTGTTTGCATTCATATAAGAATCAAAATATAAATATTTTTTCAATTTCGAAAAAAAAAACCATAAAATTTTCTTTTATAACGTGTAAATTTTTATTTAATCCATTTTTTACTGGCGGAAAAAAGGAAAATTTTATAATAGGAAAAATATATATATATATATATATATATTAATTTATAAACATATTTTCTTTAATAATATACTTTTTCTTCATCATAAGCATAAATTTATAATAATCATTCAACACACATTCAAAAAAAAAAAAATAATTCTGTAAATATTTTTAATTAATAAAAATATACGCACACACATATAGCATATAAATAGAAAAGACGTATAGAAAATGATGTCAATGACAAGATCTTTTAGTAGATCCTCAACATCATCGTCGCCATCGTCATCCTCTTCACCGACACCAAAATTTCTTTTTAGATCATTTTCAACATCATCATCAACACCATCATCAACGTCATCAACGTCATCAACGTCATCACCAAAATCATCACCAATAAAGTCATCATTATCAAAATCACCAAAATCATTACCAAAATCACCAAGGTTATCATCAATAAAATTATCATTATCAAAATCATTATCAAAATCTATGACAACATCGTCATTACCATCAAAATCAACAGTAAAACCTTCGTCGCCCACGTCTCCTAAATCACATTCAACTCTTGAATCATCATTTTCATCTCCACCTTTATCATCACCGATTAAGCCAAATGCACCAGATGATAAAACATATCGTCTAGTTAACAAAGCTAACGAATATTACTCAAAAAAAGAATTTAAATTAGCAATTGGTTTGTTAATTTATTGATTGATTGAGATTGAGATTTATATTGGGATTTATATTGGGATTGAGATTGGGATTGGGATTGGGATTTTTTATTTAATGCTCCTTTATCTAATCTAATCTAATCTAATCTCTATTTATAGATGAATTCACCAAAGCTTTAACAATTTTAAATTCATCATCACCGTCGCCGTCGTCATCAGATTTCTTTGTTTTAATATATTCAAATCGTAGTGCTAGCTATTATCAATGCTCACAATGGCAAGAAGCGGTAGACGATGCAAATCAAGTTATAAGGATTAGAGCTGATTGGCAAAAAGTAATAATAAATCATTCATTTTTATTAATTTAAATAATGAAACACTTATATATATGATATGCATGATATTTGTGTTTTTTATAGGGATATTTTAGGAAGGCGGAAGCACTTGTAAAACTTGAAAAATATGACGAAGCGATTGAAAATTATTATAATGCAAAATTAAAGGTTGATAGCAATAACAATAATCATTAAACTTAATTTTTTGAAACATTTAATTAATCGTATATAAATATTTAGGATCCACAAAATCACCAAATATCTTTAAGAATTGCAAAGACATTAATATTAAAGGATAATAAAGCAATGGGTAATTAACCATTTATCTATTAATCCATTCATCATCCCATCTGCCCTCCTCCTCATTCAATTAGAAAAATATTTTTTTTAAAAATTCAGGATTGGCAATTTATACACTTGTACCGGGTCGAGATATTTGCCTATCAAAAAACTCTTCAATGATAACGAGCCCAATACAAAAAAAAATTCATGAGTTTGCAATAGAAATGAAAAATCTTATTCATCTGATAGTAGATGTCGAAACTAAAAAGTGTGTTGTAATAGACGCTGTAAGTGTTTATGCTTAAATAAATATTTCTAATAAATATTTCTTCTAATCATATTTTACATTATAATGATTGTTTATGATTTAGTGTTGGGATATTGATGGGATTTTAAGATTTATTAGAAAGAAAGATTTAAATTTAGTTGGTGCAATTGTAACCCATTATCATTTTGATCATGTGGGAGGTAACCAATCGACAAAACATACATACATTCATTCATTCATTCGATAATTTCATATGCCAAAATTTAACTTTTTTTTTTCAAAAATTTTTGCTCATGCAGGTTCACCACCGCCTCCGTACAATCAACTGCCAATAAAAGTTTCGGGTCTTTACACCCTAATGAAACGAGCACCAACAATATCATGCTACATAAATACACTAGATCTCCCATATGTTCTAAAATCAAATCCTAATCTTTTAGAATTCCAACAACCACAACATAATCATCGTATAATACCCACCACGAATCAATTCATATTACCGTTAGGTAATCTAACATTATTGAGATTTTTGCATACACCAGGTCACACTGAAGGAAGTCAATCAGTGTTGGTGAATGAGACAAGGTTGTTTACGGGTGATGTGTTGATGTGTAGTTGTAGTGGTAGGGTTGATTTGCCAGGTGGTAATCAAAAAGAGATGAAAAAAACGTTGAGAGAACGATTGGCTCGGTTGGATGATCGTGTTATCATTTATCCGGGTCATGATTATGGTGGTGATTGGACTACTGTTGGACTTGAAAAAAGAAAAGGTGTTATTGGTAGATTAAAAAAACATTTGAGTGTCTAAAAATTTTCTTTAATGATATGTATGTATGAATAAATTATGACAATAAATAAATAAATAATAATAATGTTTATTATTTTGTAAAATAAAAATTATGTTTTTTGTAATAAACATATTAAATTTTTTTTTTTTATTATATTAAAATTAGTAGTATAAATAATCAAAAAATATATATATTAAAAAAAAATGAATAAATAAATAACAACAAAAAAAATTTTTTGTGAAAAAAGAAAATTTTGACAAGTTGTTGCTGTTGTTGTTTTGTAGTTATTGTTGATGTATTTATATAATTGATGTTTTTACTATATTGATTTTAAAATTTTTTTTTTCTCTTACATTCCTTTTTTTTTTTTTTTTTTGCTATTATTAATTATTAAATTTTTTTTTTGAAATTTTTTTTTTAAAATAATTACTTTTTTTTATATATAATAAATATAAATATAAAATTAAAAAATTTTGGTTTTAAATCAAGTCTGCCACATTCATTGGCATTTCGTCAATTTGTGTATTATAAAATTGTTCTAATTAATAAAAAAAAATCAATTAATATATAATAATGTCAGATATAGATAAATTGTTAATAAGAACACATAAATAACAATAGGTTGATTAATTACCTATATCTCTAAGCATTCTAACATCATCACTAGTAACAAAATTGATAGCAACACCTTTTCTACCAAAACGACCTCCTCTACCAATACGATGAATATAATTTTCACGATTTGTAGGAAGATCATAATTAATAACCTAGAAAAAAAAAAAGAGTGAGCGAGCGAGGAAAATGAAAAAAAGGAATATTTACATTCACATCTACATCTATATTTACACACACACGTGTATTATCTGTCTATCATCAAATATATATCAGAACCTCAACAAAAAAACTTACCAATGATACTTGTTGAACATCAATACCACGAGCTAAAATATCAGTAGCAATAAGTACACGAGAAGATCCTGACCGGAATTCTTTCATGATAACGTCTCGTTGAGCCTGATCCATATCACCATGCATAGCCGAAACAGTAAACTCCCTAGAATGTAATTTATCAGTCAACCAATCTACTTTTCTTCTGGTATTACAAAAAATAATGGCTTGGGTGATGGTGACTGTTTCGTATAAATCACATAATGTATCAAGTTTCCATTCTTCTTTTTCAACCGAAATATAAAATTGCTATAATATGTATCATTAATATAAAAATAGTTAACATAAACCATATATACCAACATAAACTCCCTCATCCCTCTCAACCCCTTACATCTCTCCCATTACCTTAATACCCTCTAATGTCAATTCGTCACGTTTGACCAAAATTCTAACAGGATCGCGCATAAACTTATTGGAAACTTCAAGAACGTCAGATGGCATGGTAGCGGATAAAAGAACAACTTGTGTAGTTGGTGGAAGTAATTGAAAAACATCATATATTTGTTCTTTGAAACCACGTGACAACATTTCATCCGCCTCATCAAGCACAAACATCTTTATGGAATCGGTTTTCAAAGCTCTACGATTAATCATATCGAATACACGTCCCGGGGTACCGACAACTACATGAGCACCAGCCTCTAGTTTCTTGATTCCCTCACGAACATTCGTGCCGCCAATTGTCGCGTTACACTCAACGTTCATAAAATCGCCGAGCGCGATCACCACTTTTTGAATTTGTTGCGCCAGTTCACGAGTCGGTGCAAGAATAAGTGCCTGGCATTGACTGATTGACATGTCGATTTTTTGAAGAATGGAGATTGAGAATGTGGCGGTTTTTCCCGTTCCAGATTGTGCTTGAGCGATCACGTCATGATTTTTTATAACTGGGATAATGGCTCTTTGTTGAATTGCAGATGGTTTTTCGAAACTTTGTTATTATTGTTATGAAATTATATTAAAGTGATTTGATATGAAAAAAAAATATTTATTATAATTGTAATTATATTAATAATAAAAATCATTATATGTTTTAGATAAATAAATAAATAAATGCATGTATACACACCCATATGCATAAATACCACGAAGCAACTCGGGCTTTAGATTCATATTATCAAAATTATCAACAACTTCATCCCAAGTCGACTATATAAATTGAATAGAAAATTTAATTTATAAAAAAGAGTATTGCTATTTTTTTCTTTATAAATTAAAAAAATTCCTTACTTCGATCTCTCCTTCAGGGATATCGTTGAGTTCTTCTCCTCTATATTATTTATTAAAGAATTAGATCAAATGTGAATTTCGTTTTCAAAAAAAAATATATTTATTATTATTGCTGCTGTTATTCTTTCTTTAATTTGTCATCATTATAATACATAAGAAAAATACACAATTCAAAATCTTTTTCTCTTATCTCAAATTTTTTTTTTTTCAAATGTTTTACTTTAATTAATATACACTTAATTTGATTGATTGATTAATTTAATTATTTTCTCCAATTGTGTTTTTTATTTTTTATTTTTTTGATACTTACTTACTCATATTGTAAGTTGATTATAAATAATTAGATTTTAAAGAAAAATTTATTTTTTAAATAAATGCAAACACAAAAAAAATTTTTTTTTTCTTGAGATGTTTTTAAATTCCAAATCTGGTACACCTTTTAAAACAATACTAATATATACTAATCATTTATCACTGGTTCATTTTTTGTTAGTATAGTAATAGGAAAATTGGGTTTTGTGTTGCACAATTTTTATTGGCCACCAAAAATATTTTTCCATTATTATTATCAAGTTCTTTTGGATCAACATACTAAGCTATATAATGGAAATTATTTTAGCATTAATTTATCGCAATTGAATACTCAGTGACAAATGATGGAATAGAATCATAGTTATTATCTAAATATTTGATGGAATTTTTTTAATTGTAACATAAAGTTATAATTTAAAATGCGCGATACAGATAAATGGGGCATACTGCAACAAAACCAGACAGTGAATATTGGTATTAGTATTAGTATTAACTAACAATTTCAGGGATCAAAATTTAGTAATGTGATTATTAAAATCCTCCATTTGTTTGTTGTATTTGTTTTTTTCTTAGTTAAATATAGAATTGCCCCTATATAAAAATAGTTGTATTACATTATGTACCCAAAAAATTACAGCACCATTACAAGTATGAAGAAAGAACAAGGTGAAAAAATTGCTCCCTATATTTTCAAAATAAATGATACTCAACACTGGAAGCTTATCTAAGAAAAGAAAGGATTGCTTATGATGAAATTTACCAAGATGAGAACATACCATTACATAACAAAAGATTGAAACTTTGGACAAAAATGAAGAATAAACCCTTTACTAATAAAGTGTATAATTGCGAATGTGATAAATGTTTTTTTTTTTTGATAAATATAATTTTATAAATCTCTTTAAATACTAATCATAATGCAGTGATAGAATGAACAATTAAATTCATAATATAAAAATCTTTAAAAAATCTCAACTTACATATATTTAAAGTTAATATTAATATACATAAATAATAATAATAATTGAATTACTCATATAGGAGGTGTCTTTAATATGGCAAATGTCATAAGCAATAAATTATCAAGATGGCTTGGTGGTGTTTGAAGATTATCTGGTTCAAATAGATTGTCGATTTTTTTTAATTCTATTAACATTTTCAATTATTATTGAGTTAATTTCTCGACGAAAGGGATTATTACGGAATCGTTAATACTTGTTGTGTACTAAAAATCTTAACCATTGTGAATAATGGGTTATAATCATGATCTAAAGTATATACAGTACAACGAATTTACTTTCTATATTAAAAATCATTTTTATTAGTAAAACAAATTTAATCATATTATTCTTAAAGTAAATAATAATGATACACTAAACTAAAAACGTGAATTGCTATCATTTTCAATTTATCTAGTAATTCTATGCATTTTTGATTACCGCCATTTCTTGACATACTAATACTATTCCAAGATTCTTTACTCATTTTTGCCAATCTTAGTCGATCTTCATTGATGTGATCAATAACGTTGCTCTTGTACCATATGATACTTCAATAAACAACAATTCATATCTATATTTAAATATTTTTCCTATCAGGGTCCACATATAATCCGGAAATCTCGTGGGTCCATCTTTGCCATTTCTTGTTTGTCGTTTGGCATTTTTCTCTATCATTAAATAAAATAACCACATTAGTCTTTTATATATATATTTTTTAATGTCTATTTAGTAGATTTATTACCATAATCTGATGATATCATCAATGTTGCGAATGGGAATCTTAGTATTGGAGGAATTAAATCGTCTCGCCACGTATCTTCACTGATTTTTATTTCTTGATCTAAATAATTATGCGATTTCCAAATTGCTTTCTAAAAATATATATATTATCATATCGTGAGTATTAAACTATACATATTGTCAAAATTAATTTGGCTTTGACTCAATTCCTAAAATCTCAATTTTTAATTGCATCTGACTCAATTATTTATATGTTTTTCATATTGCGTCAAAAAGTCACCTAACTGATTGAGTAAAGTGATCATCCTATTTCTACCACATGTATATCTTTCTCACCAATTGTAATCCTTATAATATAGATATAAATTATGCAAAAAACTCAATTTTGGTCAGAGAGGTCCCTAACCAAGAAATCCCCCATATCTACGGCAAAAGGGAGCTTGTATTGTATAGTAATAGAGATTTTAATTTAATATTCATTTCTTTACTAAATAAACAGGGTCTGATTTTCATTAATTATAATTCTTATAATATAGATATATATTATGCAAAAACTCAATTTTGGTCAGGAAGCTCCATTTTGCTAGAGAATCACATATACTTACACCAGCAATAATTTTTTGAATTTTTTTTAAGATTCACTTCGGAATCTGATGAGCTAAATATTCCTGTGTTGGTAGTAGTGACAACTAGGTCATTTGTTTCCACTTTGGATATATTCATGATTTTTTCTTGAATATTTAGGAAATTAAAAATGACACAAGTGTTAAGCAACTTTTTTTACTTGAAATACATCACAAAATAATTTATATAATAACTAGAGTGACAACGAGTGGTGATAACCGCCACTATTCTTATGATAAATACTTACCCAGCAGTTTCCTGCCAATTGTCTTCTTTTTTTCTTTTGCGAGTATTAGTTTTTGACATTTTAAAAAGAAAAAAGAAATTGTTGTTAGATCGACAAACACGTGCTAATTATTTATGATTTTTTTTTTGGAAAAACAAAGATGACAAAACGTGGTTCTCCAAAAGAAGAAGTGTTTAATAACTAACCAGAGGTACTTTTTTTTATTTGTATTGATATAATGTGGCGACCTTTAATTTATAAATATTTTAATTGGAATCAAAATACAGAGCAGAACTCGTGGGTAATTATAAGATCCTTATCAAGATGGCAACAAATGGACGATTGGTACTTTGCTTTTTGTAATCGTTATTATTATTATTATAATATATATCAAGGCAGCACATTGTTGCAGAAGAAATAATTCAATATGAAACATTTCGATATATGACGTTTGATTATCGGAAATTAGCAGATGTTGAAGCACGCACACCACCTACCAAGATTTTCTCGATGATACAATATTGCAATCGAATTCTAGGGGGACCACATGGCCCTGGGTTTTACCGAAACTGCATCAATCGTCAATGATACTTTTCACTAATCTTCCCTCACAATATCTGACCAGAGAAGGCAAGCATGGCGGGATTTCTCTGTGATTGGCTGACGCATAATGAATGATTTACGCCGATCATTACTATTAATCAATTTTTTTAATGTTATCCTAGACAATCAAATGACTTTATTGACAGTATTCTATACACATAATTTATCAAAGCTCTAGATTGAAAACCTCTATTGCTATCATAATGACAAAAATGCATGTAATAAAATGCACCTATAGTTTGAAGCAACATAAATATAATATCTACCATCTGAATGACAAACTTGAAAAAAAGTATATCCCCACATTCAATTAAATAATTTTATTCATAAAAAAATATTTATAGATGTTGAAAGCTTGCATTGAACTTTGCATCTTGTCATTATTTAATGTACATCTAATTATAATAATACTTATTAAGTGACATAAATTACACTATTAATCCTTTTTGCATAATGAAAGAATTTCAAATATTATATCATTAATAAGATAATTATTTATTCAACACACTTGCTATTGTAACATATTAACTATGATAATATTTCTACCATTCTTTAGACTAGTAGATCCAAACATGTTGTAATTGTTTCTTTATATTAGAACTATTTCAAATATACATCATTAATAAGATAGTTATTATTCAACATGCCTGTGCTAGTGCATTTATGTCAAATTTCTTCCAGAGCAAGCCTGCTGCTTGGTGTTCCCTATTACAATAATCATATAAGATAATGCACTTGTTATTATAATGCATTAACTATGATAAAACAGAATAATAATATTCCTACTGTTCTTTGGCCAAGTAGATCCAATCATGTTGCAATTATTTCTTTATATTGTAGAACTATAAATATTTTTTCAAAGTGTAAAGGGTTATATAAATGTACCTTTAAACATGTTGGTTCACTAAATATTTTTTTTAATGTCTGAGTTGTTATAATAATAAAAAAATTTAATAATGAAATAATATATAAAATATATTTATCACTATTTATTTTGAATGCTTGGAAATGCTTCTCATCTAACTTCTGAATTACCTTGTCATTTTTCGAATTACTTTGGTATTATATTATACAGAACTTAAGCTTTCTATTAGTATGTGTTTTATAAGCCAGAAATAATTTTTGGTAGGGTTAAAGTCAGATGATTAGAAATTTTAATGAATCTATACACTATGCTGATTGAAAATAAGTTGGTTATTTTCCTCTGTATAAATTGAAATTCATTCCAATTATCAAAGAAAATGATAGTTATTTTCCTTTAGATGAAAGTTAATATTTTGGCTTTTGATATCTTGTTGATGATAATTCAATGATTATAAAAAGCAGCTACAGTATTACTGACAAGGATGAGATTTACATTCTTTCTGATTACAAATATAATCATGTTAAAACTAAAGTCTCTGACTCAAAAGATGAATATTTTGCCAAAGCTGCAAATAAATATAAAAACAATATTTCAAAGAATAAAGGAAATTATGAATAACAGATATAACTTTTTAAGTTTTAATTGCTATGATTTATGTTGTTAGGAGGACTAAAAAAGAAACAATAAATTAACATTGCAACAATGTGATTATTTTCCTTCTAGAGGTTTCTGCTTTTTGTTAGATAATAATGCATTTTCATTCTGTTTTTTTCCTAACATTGATTATTTCAGTATTTTTCTTTCTTGGTAAATTTCATAGGTACCGTAAAGTCTGGAAAGATAGCATCCCTTTTTACATACGTGTAACATTTTTTTTATATTGACGCTCAATTGTTTTAAAGTAAGGGGTGCTATCTTTCGGGGGGTGCTATCTTTCCAGACTTTACGGTAATCTTTACTTTTCTTAGATAAGTTTCCAATGTCTGGGTATCATTTATTTTGAAAATATAAGGTCCTTATCAAGATGGCAACAAATGGACGATTGGTACTTTGCTTTTTGTAATCGTTATTATTATTATTATAATATATATCAAGGCAGCACATTGTTGCAGAAGAAATAATTCAATATGAAACATTTCGATATATGACGTTTGATTATCGGAAATTAGCAGATGTTGAAGCACGCACACCACCTACCAAGATTTTCTCGATGATACAATATTGCAATCGAATTCTAGGGGGACCACATGGCCCTGGGTTTTACCGAAACTGCATCAATCGTCAATGATACTTTTCACTAATCTTCCCTCACAATATCTGACCAGAGAAGGCAAGCATGGCGGGATTTCTCTGTGATTGGCTGACGCATAATGAATGATTTACGCCGATCATTACTATTAATCAATTTTTTTAATGTTATCCTAGACAATCAAATGACTTTATTGACAGTATTCTATACACATAATTTATCAAAGCTCTAGATTGAAAACCTCTATTGCTATCATAATGACAAAAATGCATGTAATAAAATGCACCTATAGTTTGAAGCAACATAAATATAATATCTACCATCTGAATGACAAACTTGAAAAAAAGTATATCCCCACATTCAATTAAATAATTTTATTCATAAAAAAATATTTATAGATGTTGAAAGCTTGCATTGAACTTTGCATCTTGTCATTATTTAATGTACATCTAATTATAATAATACTTATTAAGTGACATAAATTACACTATTAATCCTTTTTGCATAATGAAAGAATTTCAAATATTATATCATTAATAAGATAATTATTTATTCAACACACTTGCTATTGTAATGTATTAACTATGATGAAACATAATATTATTCCTACCATTCTTTGGACTAGTAGATCCAAGCATGTTGCAATTGTTTCTTTATATTGTAGAACCATTTCAAATATTACATCATTAATAAGATAATTATTATTCAACATTAAGGGTACCGGCTGCAACTTTTGATGATAATAATATTCCTACTTTGGCCAAGTAAATCCAAGCATGTTGCAATTATTTTTTCAAAGTATAAAGGGTTAAATTAATGTTTATAAATGTACCTTTAAACAAGTTATTCATTAATTTTTTTTTTAATGCCTGAGTTGTTGTTATAACAAAAAAAAAAAATTTAATAATGAAATATATTTATCACTATTTATTTTGAATGCTTAGAAATGCTTCTCATCTAACTTCTGAATTACCTCATCA